GCTTGTTTGTCTCTTTGAAAATTCTTTATTTTTTCTTATCCTCTCTTGAGTGATGGAAACCTACTTCCCAAGGATCCTTTTGGAATAAAAAGAACCAAGAAGGGTGAAGGATGATAAAGATGGTCTAAAGAATTGTAGGGCATTTACCCTTATTGTAGGGTACCCTACATTTGGAGGATTATCCTACCTTAAGGGCTCCTATTGTTGTTTTACATTTTTAGTAGTGATTATATAGGATATTTTTGACCATGTATCTTGGATCAAGTAGTATAGGAATTTTTTCCCTTGTATTTTTCTTTAAAGGTGTAATAAGTAATTTAGGAGAGGTGTAACTAGCCTAGGCCATAAACTTATTTGGACTTGGATGGCCCAAACATTTTTCTAGCCCATTAAGGTTGGACGTCCACTTGCCCAAGCAAGTGGGTTGGACGTCCAAGCTTAAAGAACAAGTCATCCAAGCTTGTTAAATAAGTCACATGGCCATGATAGTGACATCTCAACAAACTAGTCAAAGTAATCATTAGTCTAGTAGTTGTAATAATTAGGTTAGGTAGTTGGAGTTAATGTAAGTTAACCTAGGTTATTCTTAAACCAGGATTAGCGTAGCTTGCTCCATAAGCTTCTAGAAAACAAACTAGACTTGTAGAAAGCTAACTAGGATTGGTTAGCTTAAATACAAGATAGCTAACGATGGTTACACTTGATCATGGTTAGTCTAACTTGCACCATAAGCCAACCAAACTCCTATATATAGGATTTATTTGTATTGGCTGAACTTTAACTTTGAGTATTAATGAATTAGATGCATTTTTCCTAATTCTCTCTCAAAGCTTATTTCTCTCCTTGAAACTTGTTATATTTCTCTTATCCTTTCTTGAGTGTGACAAGATTTGGAGGGACTTATCACTCCATGAGTGTGGCATCTCCAAGAGAGCTCTTTAACATTATATGTGTCTTTGAAGATGGCTTCTAACACCTTTTGAAGCCATTGAAAAATCTAGGAGGAGACCAAGAAGGAAAAGATCCATTCAAGGAGCTCGGAGGAGGAACTACATCAATCTAGTCTCTCCAAAGGGTTTTCCATCATTGAGTGTGGTGAGAATTTGAAGAGACTTATCACTCTTCAAAGTGCAGCATCACCTAAGGGAGATCCTACCTTTCCTTATGTATTAGAAATGGCTTCTAACATCGTTAGAAGCCATTGAAGGAGCTTGAAGGAGTCTAAGAAGTTAAAGATCTGTCCAAGAAGATTTAAGGATAAACTATTTCAATCAAATCTCTCCTAAGGTTTCCATCACCAGTCGTAGTGGTTGAGGCTGAGGTAGTTGAAAAGGTTGTTGGTGCTAACAAACTTGAAAGTTCATGATTATTGAGGCACAAGAGCTCAAAAGCTCAAGATCCCGTGCAAATTCAAAAATTCATGGTTGTTGAGGTGCAATAGCTTGAAAGCTTAGAATTGCACATGAACATATGAATTTTTGATTGTGCTTATGAGTGATGTGGGGGAGTCATATGATGGTTGTTGCAAATTTGAGGAAAGGAAAAGAAAAACTTCATTTATGATTCATGTGTTTCATGCATGTATGTAGATAATAATGATGTCATATCAATAAAGTGTACTTAATGCATGTACATAGCTAGAAGTTATATTTATGTAATATCATGGAGTAATGTAATAATACCTACTATGCAATGAAACATAATAACTCCCTCAATTTAGCTTCCCATTGTGAAATTATATATTAAACCTGTTTTGATGTTTACCGATGGCATGTTCATTTCGACTTGCCTTGTGGTGCATATTTTGTAAGCATTGTATGTTGAACTTGACATGGTGATATCGTCAGTGATGTGATGACCACAAAGTTTGTTGACGAGTTACCCCAAAGGAACTCAAGGAAGGGAGTGACTCTCCTTATTGGGTTGGAAGTTTTACACGACATAAGTGTCTTAGGTCGATTTGGAGGTTATGTACTCCTCCGTTGTTAAGATGTTGGTTCTTGAACGAATGTCATTATTCTCTTAGTGTAGAGCCTAGAGTTTCTATTAGTAATGTTCACAATCAACTTTGTAACGAGCTTGATTGGTCTCACGTTGTCGACAAAGGACTATTAGGGCTTCTTCATTATGTCTCAGCATGGCTTTCATGCATTGTAATAATTTAGCATTGGATGGTGAAATAAGTGAGTTCGTCATGTCAATAGTTGCCAAGGGTTCCACAAACGAAGTTGCGACCAAAAAAAGTAAAGGTTGTTGTTGAGATTCATGGATGGTGAATCAACTTTTGAAGAGTTTTGATGATTACAAAGAAAAAGATTGAAGATCATGAGCTATTTGAATGTTGAAATTATAATATATTAGTTTATGAGTAGTAATTGTTTGATCGTTTTGTCTTATGCATGTTTATGTTAGTTTATGCTTTGTACAAGTGTCAAATCTTTATCGTAATTGTCTTAGAATTAGTATAATGATGATAGAGCATAACTTAGAAAGTTTCTAAATGTTTAAAATCGAATTTTGAGAATCAACTCAAAATTATCGATTATTCATTAACAATAATCGATTATTTGCTCTATTTTTCAGTAACTTGGAAAATGTTGTTGTAAATAATTGATTATCTGTTGAAACAATCAATTATCCCAGAGTGTGCTCTCTGGAATAATTGATTATCTTGTGAAATAATTGATTATTTTGTTCTTAAGTGATTTCTAGAATTGTTAAGAACAAAATAATCGATTATCCATTGAAATAATTGATTATCTGGGTCTGAAAACTTTATAAAACTGAATTTCACATACAGAAATGCAAGCAAGTGATTTTGAGAAAAAATTTGTGATTTATTTTGATTTGTGTGATCTTCTTGGAGAGATTTCTTTGTGAATTCAAGAAATAAACATCTTTGTGAAATGTTTTGAAAGATTATCATCATCATCTACATTCTTGATAAAGGATAGAGACTTGACAGAGAATTCATCTATCTAAATTTGGAGTTACAGGTGAATTTGTTCCATAATATTTTTGTGTTTTGTGGTAAGATACTTGAGTAGGTTTCTCAAGTGTAGGTGTTCTTGTAGTGGGTGACTACAAGGATTACTTTCTTGGGTGCAAGAAAGGGTCTATCTTGTATGTTGGAGTCTTTTGCATGTGTGATGTGATTGTAAAACTTCTTCATTGGGATAGTGGAACAAATATTGATCAAGTTATGATTGAGGATTGGATGTAGGTTACATGCGGAGTGGCTGAACTAGGATAAATAATCTTTCACTTCTCTCTCATTCTTACTTTTTTACTTTATGCTATCTTTAAATTGAAAAACTAACTTGCTTCACATATGTATGCATGTGATTAATATTCTTGAGTGTTTAAAGGTTTAATTGAAGTATAATCAGTGCATGTTAACATGGTTGTGAATTGAATCTTTAAAAAAAAGTTATCAAAGCATATAAGAACATATCCCATATACCAAGGTTTCAATAAACTTCTTTGGAAATTGATTTTAGAAAAGATCCATAACTCTGATAATTTTTTTTTAAAAGTGTTGATAGATCCAATTCACTCCCCTCTTAGATCAAGCCATTTTTTTCTAACAGTTGCTACTCTAGGATTGAGCCAAAGTTGCCGATTATTGTTCATTGTCTTGTTTTGGGTGGAAACCATGTGTAATCGGAGGATAGTCTCACTTTGGCCCCAGGGTGGGCACCATATGTTCTTACCAAAATCTTGCAAGTGCTCAAACGACGGGGATGACATCCTAGTTGCTCCAATGTCATTTTTGAGGAAGGCGCCTACAAAGACACTCTAACACTCAAGTTATAGAGGAGTTTAGGTGAAGAATTATGTGAGGGTAGAATGATGTTTGGTTCCCCTTATATATACGTTAATCACGTAATTTAAGAAGATGATCTTGCACAGTAATTATGGGGTATCCTTGTGATTATGTATAGGATTTATTACATGAAAATATTGTTCTAAATAAATGAAGATATTCTATTAGGTGATCAAAACGTGCTAGAATACGATATTTATGGATGATATTCATGAAGTTAGATGAAAAACACATAGAAGGGGGGGTTGAATATGCGTGTGTGTGAACGGAGGAATTTTAAAAACGTTTTCGCAAAGAAACTCCTTTTCGTCTAGTAAAAACATTATTTTGATTGCTTAGAAAAACTGTGCAGAGTTAGTTTAACAAAAAAATTTGCGTCTGAAGGTTTATCGTCTGCATACGGAAAATGCTTCTTAAATGAAAAATGTTCCTTAAGATAATGAATTAAACGAGTGTGTTTTTCATCTGAAAATCGTCGTAATGAACAATAAGCATTGGACGAAGTTTTCAATATATGATATGTTGACAAAACAAAATTGCATCTAAAACATAGAAAAGTAGTGCAAGAATTTTCATACTGGTTCACTCAAACTGATTTATGTTTAATCTCCTTCAAATGAAGGGTTTCACTAGATATTCAATGAAGTACAAGTATTATCACCATTTCTGGTTTGCTGAGTATTATCGACCACTTCTAGCCCGCCAACTTCACTCATCAACACTAGTATTCTTTGATTAGCCTCTTCAGGCTCGCAGTGAGTATTCTCGACCACTCCTGGTCTCGAGTATTCTCAACCACTCCTTGTTGGCTAATAGCACTAGTATTCTTTGTTCAGCCTCTTCAGGCTCTCAGTGAGTATTCTCGACCACTCCTGGTCTCAAGTATTCTCAATCACTCTTGATTGGCTAAATTTTTTATGTTTAATTATAAATTTTTTATGTATAATAATAATTTTTTTTGGATTTATATTTTTAGATTATAAATTTGTTTACATGAAATATTTGTTGATATTGTTGATAATTAAAATTTGTAAGAGTTTAGATTTTTTTAAGTTTTTAGAAATACAAGTAATTTTGTTTTGTGTTATAAAATTTAAATAATATAAAATTAATTTTTTTGTTAATTAAAATGAAGTGTTAAATTTTTTGTTTGTATGGTGTTAATTATTTTAGTTAGGGATTGAAACATCACAGGCCTTCACAGGATGGGATTGAAGTATAGAATATGGCATGTAAAATGTGTTTAGGCTCATGCAAACCGGCATCTGGATCCACAAGACGTCACACAAGTTTGCTTAATAGAGGTAGGTAACTAATTTCGAATTTTCTTCCTCCATTGCTTTTCACTAGTTTCATTTGTGTCATCTTAATTCTCAATAACAATCAATGCAACTCCTAACTAATTACCGCATACTTAAGCCCCCAATATGAACTACTAGGGATAAATTCATGGTTCTTTCATAATCTTATAGGTAATAATTGCCTGTTGTGCAAATTAGTTATGTTTGATATTGATCACAAACTGTTTGATGTATGTTCTCAATCATGGACACACGCTTGAACTCTCGCACACAAGTTTCTGAGTTGGGATTTCTGGAAGGTGAAATGTATTGTTAGTTATTACTGATAAGATCATAAGCCACGCTTTAAGGATAAGCATTTGTATTACAGTTTGTAATTTAACAAATCTCAGTGTTCTCCTCCGTTTTTTCCTGCAAACGTCATTTCTCATACAATGGGTGCAACGAAGTCTGAAGTCACGCTTTAAGGATATGCATTTGTATTACAGTTTTATTAATTTCAAGATAGACTCCTTCCCGTTTAGTACAAGGAAAGTATGTCTCTGGACTTGAAAAGCTTTCATTGTTTTGAATAATACTTTGTGTTAGCGGGTTGTGGTCAATACTCATCAATCATCATTATTAGTAGTCCCATGTTATAAGTTTGGGTTTAAATAGAATTAAAGCCTTTGAATAGGACCTCTATTTCTTTTCTGGTAATTTTTCCGTTTACTACAATGGAAGCCTTTATTTTTTTTAGTAATTTTGCTCAGTCACTTATTAAGTGTTTGATGAAATGTCTCTTATGTTTGATTTCAAGTAAGCTCTGTATTTGATTAGGTTCTTCTGCCAAGTTTGTATTGACATCAATATATAATGGGTCAGTTAATTAATTGTCAACTTGGCATGTAAAGTTAAAAAGTTAATAATTTTAAAGAAATATAAAAATAAATACTAAGTAATAATAAAATCATCTATTATTGTTAGAGAATTCCTGTTGCTAATGCATGATAGTACATACAGCTGCACAATTGATCTAATGCAATTGATCTGCCATTGAGTAGCATTTTGAATGGTGCAATAGCACCGGAGCTGTTATGAAACTGAATTAAAGAGATGAAATTGATTAATTTTCTGATACCGGTCTGTCATCAATAACACTTATTAAGATTTTTTTTTGTCTATTTTCTAGCATGTAGTTATTTCCATGCCTTCCATCATTGACAGAAATTTCTACTCTGATTGAAACTTGAGGTTCTGGTTTGTTTAAAAATAGTAGTGAGCCTCGGAAAGTTTGGTATGTTTGTGAGAAACAAAGAAACTTAAAGACTCATTTGGTTGTGACTCTGATTTGAATCGGTTTAGTGCATGTACTTCTAGCACATAATTTTACTGTCTATTTCAATTACTAGTCTTGGTCTATCTTTCTGTCTCGTGGACCTCAGGGATGGTTCCAGTTACATCTGAGGTTATTGGGGGCTTTACATGACTGATCTGTGTTTAGTTCACAAGTTTTCTACCTTTTGTCACAAGCAGTTACATGTTCTCTCTTCAGGTCCACAGTGCCATTGCCATCTTCTAACCGTCTTTACATATCTGATTGCTTCCGGAAGTTGCAACACCATGCTTTCAGCTTTCCCTCAACACTCACATCTGACACGTGTTTGGTTGCTAATGATGTACTGAGCACTTGTTTTTCACACATAACAATATTTGGGATTTTTACCTGCAGAGGACAAGGGCAGCGATGATATTCAGAAACCTGGGGCCATTTGTGCCAATTATCAAAGTAGCATGGGAAAAAACTATCGCTGTTTCTAAGCTCTTTTGTTTTCTACACATTACCAGCACCTATGTGATCTGCCTTGGTGTGGTAAGCATGATTTCTATGCCAACCTGCCTTAAACTCTAATCTATTATTAAAAAGTAACCACTTCTAATGCTGCAGACAGCTGGTCCTAGCATGCTTCCTACAATCGAACTGAGACCAAATCTGTTCTTATTTGAAAAGATCTCAACCCGGTTTGGTAAAGTTGCTTGTGGAGATATTGTAGGCTTGCGTGATCCTCAAGACCCTAGACGCTACTTGACAAAACGTGTGGTTGGATTGGAGGGTGATAGTGTTACATACATTTCAGATCCTGAGAACAATGATAAGCCTGAGACAACTGTGGTATGGTCAATTTCTTAGAAAAATTAAACTCGCAATTTTTGTGATCATTTTGATTATGGGTTTTGCTTTCCTAGTATTTTGAAGTCACTTTGTTTTTTGGGGATGACTGGTAAGGAGCATCCATGCGTCTTCACGTTAAGAATGGGCTTGATATTTGATAGCTTTTGGTCTAGAGATTTTTTACATTTTTACATTGTTGAATGTGTTTTGGGGATTTTTTGGTCTAAGTATGTCGTCCCTCTACAGGTTCCAAAGGGTGGCGTTTGGCTAGAGGGAGATAACAAGTATAATAGCCGTGATTCAAGAACTTTTGGGCCTGTTCCTTATGGCCTTATTCAGGGCAAGATGTTTTGGAAGGTAAGTTTGTGTATGATATGATGACTAACAACATTTCCCTCCTTTTTCCTTGTCGCCTTCCCCTAATCTTTTGGTGTTTTGAATGTAGATATTGCCACTTAATGATATTGGACCTTTCTGGGATAAATGATCTGAAGCAAAGCATTCAATCATGTAAGCTACAATATTTGTTCAACATGACTGTTCAATTTGGAAGACAAAACCCTACCTGTTTGGACTCTGTCCAACCTTCTCTTTGCGATTAGGAGTTTACAACCTAGACTTGTGCATTTTGCTCGGCTAAGATTCAAATTGCTACTTTTTAAAAAACTATCGCTGTTTCTAAGCTCTTTTGTTTTCTACACATTACCAGCACCTATGTGATCTGCCTTGGTGTGGTAAGCATGATTTCTATGCCAACCTGCCTTAAACTCTAATCTATTATTAAAAAGTAACCACTTCTAATGCTGCAGACAGCTGGTCCTAGCATGCTTCCTACAATCGAACTGAGACCAAATCTGTTCTTATTTGAAAAGATCTCAACCCGGTTTGGTAAAGTTGCTTGTGGAGATATTGTAGGCTTGCGTGATCCTCAAGACCCTAGACGCTACTTGACAAAACGTGTGGTTGGATTGGAGGGTGATAGTGTTACATACATTTCAGATCCTGAGAACAATGATAAGCCTGAGACAACTGTGGTATGGTCAATTTCTTAGAAAAATTAAACTCGCAATTTTTGTGATCATTTTGATTATGGGTTTTGCTTTCCTAGTATTTTGAAGTCACTTTGTTTTTTGGGGATGACTGGTAAGGAGCATCCATGCGTCTTCACGTTAAGAATGGGCTTGATATTTGATAGCTTTTGGTCTAGAGATTTTTTACATTTTTACATTGTTGAATGTGTTTTGGGGATTTTTTGGTCTAAGTATGTCGTCCCTCTACAGGTTCCAAAGGGTGGCGTTTGGCTAGAGGGAGATAACAAGTATAATAGCCGTGATTCAAGAACTTTTGGGCCTGTTCCTTATGGCCTTATTCAGGGCAAGATGTTTTGGAAGGTAAGTTTGTGTATGATATGATGACTAACAACATTTCCCTCCTTTTTCCTTGTCGCCTTCCCCTAATCTTTTGGTGTTTTGAATGTAGATATTGCCACTTAATGATATTGGACCTTTCTGGGATAAATGATCTGAAGCAAAGCATTCAATCATGTAAGCTACAATATTTGTTCAACATGACTGTTCAATTTGGAAGACAAAACCCTACCTGTTTGGACTCTGTCCAACCTTCTCTTTGCGATTAGGAGTTTACAACCTAGACTTGTGCATTTTGCTCGGCTAAGATTCAAATTGCTACTTTTTTTCTAGTAAATATAAGGGAAGTTTATCTTCAAGGGTCGTTTGTTTCTATTACATATATAATTAACTTCTACTTACCCAATTTTCACATACCACACTTTAATTCTTACTCTTGCTCTCATTTAATTAGGAGTGTGCAAAAAAACTGAACCGAACCGAACCATTCAAAATTGAACCAAACTGATCCAGAAAATAACTGATCCAAATTAAAAATATTCAAACCGAACCAGTTTTTAAAAAATCATTTAACTGAACCGGTTTATTTAAAGCAGATCGGATAAAACCCCTTAAAAAAAATATGTTTTAACTTTTTCCCCAATCCTGACTGCTTTCCTATGCGCACTACACACTACACACAGTACGCGCGCCTCTCCTATGCTCTCCTGATTACGCGGTGAATTGCGAAATGTGTAATGGAGTCGCGTTGGAGTCTTGGCATTTTGTAAGTTGCGATTCTCGCGAATAAAATCACTATGCATTCTCTGCCTCTTTGGTTGTTGGTGCTGGAATGCTGGTGGTGGCTAGTGCATTTGTTTCTTTGCATAAACCTTATTTCCTAAATTTGTAAATACCTTCTTTTTTGCTTTCTCTTTAATTTAATTCTTAGAATTTTAAATAATTAATTTTTTGTGAGCTTTCAATTTCAGGTACTGCTCTAGAAAAAAATCCATGGGTGCCGAGAGATAGTAGGAATCCTGAAATATATTGGGTTAAAAAAATTTGGTAAAAAAAATATGATTTAGATTTAAAAAATTGGGTTAAAAAATTGCCTTAAAAAATCTGGTTTAAAAAATTAGTAAAAAAAATCTGGTTAAAAAATGGTTTTAAAAAAACCGGTTTTAAACCGGTTTTTATCCAATCCATTTTAAAAATGGATTAATCCATAAATTTGGATCAAAACTGGTTCGAAACCGATCCATTAATTAGGTCCAGTTCAAAATTAGATCAGTAAACTGGATTGGATCGGAATCCACTAAATTAATCCATTTAAAAACGGATTGGTTCGGTTTTTTTTAAAAAAGCCGATCCATGCCCACCCCTACTTTTAATTCCTGGGTCAAAGTCAATTGACTTCTTAATTTTCATATCTCAGTTTATATTGAGAAGTTCTTGTTGTATTCTAGACTTACAATGCATATAAGTATCTTAGAAGAGTGTCTTCACATGCCTTAAGTTAAGTTGTTTATTTTTCAGAATTACAAATTACAATTTGATGATTGGACACTATCACTCATTGTAGACACCCAATTTCGTCCGGGGGGCATACAAACAAGATAGGACATCATAGGGCCCAAAAACCCAAATTAACTTTTTTAAGTGGCTCGGAACGGGCCGTTCCAAAATTGGAACGGACCGTTCCCAAGTCCGGAACGGGCCGTTCTCGAATTGGAACGGGCCGTTCCAAAATTGGAACGGACCGTTCCCAAGTCCGGAACGGGCCGTTCTCGAATTGGAACGGGCCGTTCCAAAATTGGAACGGACCGTTCCCAAGTCCGGAACGGGCCGTTCTAGGGTACGAAAATGGTACATAACATTCGGATTCGAAACGGGCCGTTCCAGCCCACATCTGATGCCTAAAAATAGGAATCTCGGCCACAGTTTCAAGGGACTCCAAAATTTCGTCCAGACTCCTTAGAGCTCGAAATTTCTCCCTTTTTTCTCTCTTTCTCTCCTATTGTACTTCTTGAGTTTTCTGAGGCTTATTGTAGTGTGAAAGGTTGCCACAAAGCACCTAAAACTTCCATAGTTGAAGATCTAATTAAGCTTGTTACGAGGTATTACTCATCAATCTCTTGTTTTATCTTTCTCTTCTTTTATTTTACATATTACTATAATAAACGCAATTATGTAGATATTTGAGGGGTTTACCGTGTAATTTAAATTTCAAACATGTAAATAGTAATTCATAAAGGGGATCTAATATTTAATTTATTATTTCTTATTTTATTAACTTCATCATAGGGTACCGATTGAGGGCGTTATAGGGGTGCTTAATACCTTCCCTACA